ATACCCATGCCCATCTCCAGTGGTCACCCCAAAAGCTCCTAAACAAAAGTTTTTCTTAAATTCTCTGTAAAATCTATTTTGAAAATGAATTTATTTGAATTGGTAGACGCTAGTATTATTCTTTTAAATAGCTTAATCAAACTTAGAGAGGTTTAACTTCAAATAAAACAAAGTAAATATAATTTAGATTGGAGGGAGTGTACCACACTAAAACATCTTACTAGCAAGTATGGAGGATAACTACTTATTGAGTTTAAGGCATTTACTTACGTCCAAGCACTTGCCTCAGAAATTACACAGGTTGCATTCACTCAGTAATCAAATCTCAGAAATTCCACTTAATCTGGGCACAGAAAATGGAGATGAGATTCTCATTCACGATAACAGAAAAGCAGGTTATCACAAAATAGTTTGATGGAGGAGTTTCCTCCGGCTCCATATAACTTAGATAAGTTCCAAACAGTACCACGGCATGACAAATTTTTACAGCAACTGGTCCTTATCCTTGTTCTATGCAAAACCTATATAACACACTGATCTCGATAATAATAATCACACATACCAGATAGATAGAACGAACAAGCAGAACTGATGTTTATCCCTAATAAGTTTTACTTGTCTCATGAGGTATATGTACTTCTTTACTGATGGGAATGTCAAAAGCATGCATCTTCCAACGTGCTCACAGCAGACTGGCCTGGAGCTGACCATCCCTTATCTGCCCTGCGATGTCTCTGACAGCACCTGGTCCATGAGGGATGAAGACCGACGAGGACTTGGATGAGGCCCCAATCTCCTTCATGGTGTCAAAGTACTGGGTCACCAGAACCATGTCCATGACATCCTTTGCAGAGGTCCCAGGAACATTCTCAGAGAAAGCAAGAACACTGTCTCTCAGCCCATCCACTATAGCCTGGCGCTGTCTTGCGATACCCAGACCCGCCAAGTACTTGGATTCTGCATCACCTTCAGCTCTCTTGATCTGCAGTATCTTCTCTGCCTCAGCTTTCTCAGTGGCAGCCAACCTCAGCCTAGCAGCTGTTTCATTAATCGACAGGAACAGTTCAGAAATACTGGAACAGAGATACATCATACTCAATGTTTCGTGAAGATAATGCCGTACAACCTATCTTCCAAAATGTACTTAAGTTAAGCAGATGGGGCGTTACTTAAATTGCTTTCTTCAAAAAGAAAGTTACTTAATATGTACTCGGTGAGAAAATCAGTATAAACAAGTTTGTTCATCACCAACAAACAAATTAAACTAAGTGCAGATGATTTCAGAAAACAAAACAATTACCTTCTAAATATCGTGATAAGATTAACCGGTATAAGAAAACCAGAATTATGGGAGATGATTTTGGTGTCCATGTTTATTTCATGATCAATGAACATAACATTGATTGATGGGAATACTACTGCACTTGACAACATTAGGTGACATCTTGATGATAAGTCTCAAGAAGCTGAGCCATTCTTTCCATGCCGCTGAGGCACAAAATCCATCCCATTTTCCCTTTTCCAGATGATTGCACAAATATCAAGTTGTAAAATTGAACAGGTGGTTCTTACAAAGAAATCAACATGCAGTTGATGTTTCAACTATGAACAAGAAATATGTGGAACTTGCCTGCATTGATCTCATTCATGGCTCTCTTCACATGCTCATCGGGCTCAATATCAACAATCAGAGTCTGCACAATCTCATATCCATACATAGACATTGCCTATACAGTGAAGAAAAGGGTTAGCCAAAAAAACCAAAACTTCCATGCTCTAGAAGAGACCAACAAATGATGAACACAGACCTTTTCAAGTTCATCTTCTACAGCTTTGGCGATTTCATTCTTCTGCTCAAAGACATCATCCAAGTTCATCTTTGGAACACTTGCCCTGATGACTGACATGAGCAAAGTTCTATTAGTATTGAATGGGAGAAGTGAGGATGAAAAGAAATAGAACCAACAATATTCAGGTGACTCCTAAAGTACTACTACTACTGCATGAGTTATATAATGCGACAAGGAAAAAAAGGATACTGAATAAATCCATGTATGTGGTGGAGTAATGAATTTTGCAATTATGAACAAGTAGCAGCAAAGTTCTATTAGTATTGAATGTTAGCCATAGAATCAAAGCAGGGTGGATGAAATGGCGCCAAGCATCTAGTGTCCTATGTGACAAAAGGGTACCACAGAAGCTAAAAGGCAAGTTTTATAGGACGGCGATTAGACCTGCTATGTTGTATGGTGCAGAATGTTGGCCTACGAAAAGATATGTTCAACAGATAAGTGTCGCGGAAATGCGTATGTTGCGTTGGATTTGCGGTCATACAAGAAGGGATCAGGTTCGGAACGATGATATACGTGATAGATTAGGGGTAGAACCAATTGAAGAAAAGCTTATCCAACACTGGTTGAGATGGTTTGGACATGTATAACGGAGACCTCCAGAGGCACCGGTGCGTAGTGGAATCCTAAGCCAGGATAGTAACATGAAGAGAGGGAGAGGAAGACCGAAGCTGACTTGGGTAGAGGCGATAAAAGGAGACTTAAAAGGATGGAAAATACCCAAAGACTTAGCCTTAGATAGGAGTGCTTAGAAAACAGCTATTCACGTGCCTGAACCTTGATTGCTTCTGCTAGGTTTCAACTCTAGCCTACCCCAACTTGTTTGGGACTTAAAGGCTTTGATGGGATAAGTCTCATGTGCTGGTCTTTGTGGGGTTGTGCTGGTCACATGGTCTTTGTGGCTGCATGGTCTGTTTTTTAGACAGTATCTTAGACTAGAGGACAGCATCTAGGACAGCATCTTAGACTAGCATCTAGAGGACAGCATCTTAGCATCTAGGACAGCATCTTAGACTAGCATCTTAGACTAGCATCTTGACATATGTTTGACTGGCTAGCAGCCTATAAATATGTATCCCCAACCCCTCGGGTTGGCATGGCATTGAGAAATAAACCAAAAAATTGTCCCAACCCCTAGTGTCATCCTCTCTCGATGAGTAAGAATTCTGCTATTAACCAAGAGTGAGAATTCAACGACTAACAGGCTTTGTTGTTGTTGTTGTGAACAAGTAGCAGCCTTACCATCAAAGACATATGACTGGATTTGCTCCCTGGTGTTACTAAGCCTGTAAAATGCATCAGATGCCTTTTCGGCAAGGGCACGATATTGCACAGATGCCACAACGTTGACGAAGACATTATCCTGCAGATTATTCAGAACATGGTATCCAGCATCAGCATGACTAAAGCAGAAAAACAACAATAACATGAAAAAAATTGAATATAATGCAAACTATACAGATACCATTTTTACCCAGTCATGGTAATTTTAACAAATTATAGAGAAAAAAATAGATTCCTGGGGTACCTTTGTCTTTGTTTCGCAGCGGACATCAAGCTGCTGCACACGGAGTGACAGATACCCAGCAATTTGCTTCCCTATGCACCATGGCAAGAAGTGACATCCAGGCTCTAGGATTTCGTCAAATTTCCCAAAAGATTCCTTGATGGCTACTGTGGATTGATCCACTTGAATCAAGCCAAGTGCTTGACCCATGTCTTATCTACAAAGGAACAGTAAATTCTAGTCAGGTCATATGCTAAAGAACAAATGCTAGCATCTCCACATATTTGCACAATCTTGACTTAGGCTCACAGCTGATGTGACTTCTCCAATTAATCTCACAGGATTATCATACAAACAGGTGGCATACTTATCAATAATAGGTAGCATCCATGGAATAAAATAATCAATAAATAAAATAATCAATAAATGAGTGAAGATAAAATGTATACTGGATAGCATGGATTGGCTAACTTGTCCGTGCTACAGACTGGACCAATTGCAACATAGAACACAGTATCACAAACAATCATGCTCAAAAACACATGTCAATATGTAACATGAACTCATCAACAACATCTGGTGGATAAGATAGCCATGTCCTTAAGGCCCCGTTTGTGAGAGCTCTGCTCCCTGAGTCTTCAGCTCTGCTCCTTGATTCTCCAATGGAGTGATTCCACTGGATTCCTAGGAGGGAGCAGGGTGATTCTCTCACGATCCCCACCAAAATATAACAGGAGCTGGGAAGAATCCAGGGAGCAGGTTTTTTCGCTCCTAAACTTGTATACAAAATGGAGTGATTCACTTGGATTCCCGAGGAAGCTGGGTCGTTTTTTTGTGTTTGGCAGCCGGGAGTGATTCTCTTCGAGAATCTGCTCCATGGAGCGCTCCCAAACGGCCCCTAAATCTACTGAATTCTCGACATCACCATGGTACAGCCCATAGAATCACACTTTTCTAAAAATCAATTCCACAAAATAGATAGCCACCAAAAGAACAATAACAAACTAGCACAGCCAGTTGCAGTATGAACTATATAGAGAGATAAAAAGATGAACATGTACCTACAAGCGTGGTCAACAAGCTTAGTGAGCAGAGGCAAGGTTTATCAGGTTCAGGGCTTTCTTGGTGTTATTGGAGTAGAGGCATAGTACATATATAGTCGATTTGTAAAGACAAGTGGACACGCAAGAGAACGTGGGAGGTCGATAAATCATACACAGGGCCAGCGAAAGCCAAGAAATCCAATGCTGGAAGCTGACCGCAGCACAACCGACGAAAACAGCAAGATGCAGCTAATGATTCATTTGGCGACAAGTCCATGCACAGACCACATCACAGGCTTTATCCAGCACCTAGTGATAATCAAGCACGTCACAATCATCTAATCTGGCCCCGAAGACAATTAAACATTATCTTACCATCCGCGTATTCTACGCAGGTCGAAATTTCCCAACGGTGCCCAGCCATCAATCAAGCAATTAATAAGCAGCACGAAAGAAATTGTGTTCACAACTAAATCAGAAAAGAATATATACAAAAAATGTGTGCTTGACTTGAACACCTGGAAATTTCAATGAGATTGGCCAGGACAAGCAACGCACGCCAGATTTGTTCGTTCACATCGACGAGGGCACGAGGCCACCATGGAGATACCAAGGGTTGGTTCCAAGCCGTGGCCCACGGTACACAGAATAAGCCTAACATTTAGTTGGCGCAGGACAAGCGCTGCGGTCGAAACCGAGGAAGCAACATACCAGCCCCGAGAACAATCTTGGGGGAGGGGGAGAAATCCCCAAGAAAGCAAGCACGAAAAAGGGAAGAAATCATTCCCCCGCAAGAACGCTAGGGGGACGAGGGCGGCGGCGCACAGTTACCTTCCTCCGGAGGGGATCCAGGCGCAGACTAGCAGAGTATCGAGAAGAGAAGGGTTTGCTCTCGTCCTGCCGCCGCGCTGCTCCGTCGATTGGGTTGTCCGAGGCCCTCGATCGCCGGTATTTATGGCGGAATTGCTGCGCGTCTGGGAGGGAGGGCGACCGGAGGAGGATTTGCTAGAGATGGCAAGGGAATCGAGGAGGGACCGCGGGGAAGTTGCGCCGCTCCAGTCTCCAGTTCCGCACGGCATTCCCGTGGGCTGCCGCCTGCCAGATGTCCTGCTCTAGTGCTCGGTGCCTTCGGATCCCAATCGCTCTCCGCGCTGGAACCGGGTCCAGACGACCAGACGCAAAAAAAATATCGCTTTCTTTAATTTCGTTTCGTTTATTTGGATTGGAAAATGGAAATCGTGATGAATATCCTTTCCCTCTTTCTCGTTTCTTTCGTCTACTTGGAGATAGTGATGGCGTTTGACCTTGTTTTTGTCTCGGCAAAAGTTGCTGGTTTGAATCGGACGGTGCTAAGTCGTGGAGAGAGGTTTCATATCTTGCAGACCCTGAAATTAAATTAAATTAAAATATTATTAGTGCTCTATAACTCAAATTTAGGTCTCCTTCGGTAACCTAGTGACTAAATTCTAGCATATAGGTCATATTTGGTAGACCTTTACTGGCTCACTTTACTTCTCTCTGTCTCACTACCACCTGGGTCCACAAGTCAAGGGCATAATAAAAAAATACAAAAAAAAACATGGGCTTCTGCTTCTTCCTCCGGCCGGGGCCCACACCCATGGCCAGGCGTGCAGCTGGCCAAGGGGCGACGCGACGGCCAGTCGAGGGCGGGCAAGGTGCATGGCTGCGAGCGACGGGGATGAACCGTTTTTTCTGTGTAATTAGTGGCATGGTGAGTAATCTTTTTTAACTCCACCAAACTTGAGTTAGGTGCTCCACCAAATCTATGGAAAAGTGAATCTGGATCTGGTTTTTCATGGATTTGAAGCTGGTAGATCTCTGCCAAACGAGTCCACGGGATCTCTAGGTACAAAGAGTCTAAGACAAAGATCCAAAGATGTGTAAAAAAACTAGGTAGTATTACGTCTATCAAAAAAACTACACATCTTATTTTTTAAAAGTTAAATTATTTTGAGTTTAATTAAATTTATAAAATATTATCAACATTTATATTTTTACTATGTTTATTATAAAAATATCCTATAATTAATCCAATAATACTTATTAATATTTTATACATAATTAATTAAATTTAGAAAAATTACTTATTAAAAAATAAGATGCACAGTCATTTTGAAATGGAGCGAGTATTTATAATAGAACTTCTGTGAAGCAACAGTGATTGGGGGATTTTAGTACCGGGAGGCAGCCACGAGTCCGTCCAGAACATAGCGGAGGCGCCGTCGCCAAGGCGGACAATCACCGATGCCCGGAACATGGAGGTGATCATCCGTTCTGGAGTTTGGATCGGTGCGACGGAGCCATTCCCAATGCAGGCGAAGGGCGAAGCCTAGAATCCGCAGGTCGGGGATGCCAAGACCCCCACATTCCTTGGGCGCACAGACAATCGGCCAGGCAACTTTGCAGCGGCCGCCTGCCGCGCGGTCAGTGCCACACCAGAGGAACGCGCGACGCCGTCGATCGATCTCGGCAATGGCCCAGGACGACAAGCAACAAGTGATGGAGATATGCACCGGGATGGCTGACAGCGTAGATTTGGTGAGCGCCAGCCGCCCTGCCGTGTTCAGCATGTTCGCCTTCCAGGTAGGGATCTTGGTCGCGACCGCATCAACCAGCCGCTGCTCCTCTGTGCGCTTGAGCGACGTCACTGACAGAGGCGCGCCAAGATATTTGCACGGGAACGGAGACAGCGTGCATGAGAAAATCTCCTCAACTGCGGCAATGGATTCATCCGTGCATCGAATCGGGGAGATCAGGCATTTGTCCAGGTTGGTCAGTAGTCCTGAAGCCCCCGCAAAAAGCTCTAGGATCCCCTTGATGCATGCGAAGTCATGAGGCTCAGGCCGCAGGAAAATGACCGAGTCGTCGGCGTAGATAGAAGATCTAAATTTCATCAAATCGCCGGGTAGAGGGGAGAGCATTCCGCAGAGCTCCGCCTGTTCCAGAAGCGAGTTGAGTACCTCCATCACGATCAGGAACAAGAATGGCGACAATGGATCTCCTTGACGGAGGCCACGGGCGTGGCAAATACGCCGTCCTAGACGACCATTGACAAGAACCCTTGTGCTCGCGGTGGACAGCAGGGCTGCGATCCAATCCCGCCATCGGGGTGGGAAACCGACATGTTCCAGCACTTCCAGGAGGAATGGCCATGCGACACTGTCGAAGGCCTTGGCGAGGTCGACCTTGAGCAGGATGCACGGCACAAGGTTCCCGTCGTGACGAGCAAAAGATTTCGCCCGCGCGGCCGAGCCGCCGAGGCTTTGGGGACGACGGACGAGTGGCCCCAGTGGAATCGGGCAGCTGTATGGCGATCTCTTTCGTTCTGCCGATCGGAGGCCGAGTGGCCCGCGATGGTGGCGGCTCATGGCGCGGGGGGCCCTCCACTCCACTCTTTTGTGCGTTCAATCATGACGATTCAGAAAGTTTGTTGCGGTGTGGAGGAGATGCAAAAGCCCGGCAGCCAAATCGGCAATGGACCAGAAGCGGAGATGATGCTGCGGATGCGGATGGGTCAACTCAGGTGTCAAGCTCACGAGTACTACGTGTCAACCGACATGTTCCAGCACTTCCAGCTGAAGCGGGCCCTGCCCGTGCCGTGCCATCGTGGCCCAGGCACGGGCACGGGGCCGTGCCGTGCTTGGCACGGGCACGGTAGCTGCCGGGCCGGGCCGTTTTCATACCGAGCCAAATAGTACCGTATCCGTGTCGGCCCAGCGGGCTTGGCCCGTTTGGGAAACTATAGCTGCGGATGCGGATGGGTCAACTCAGGTGTCAAGCTCACGAGTACTACGTGTCGACCATTGCGGTTTCAGGCTTTCAGCCCAACAGGAACTATGGTTTACACAAAATATATACGGGACGACTAGTGGCGTCCGGACACAGCTCCCACAGCCGCGTCGGACGCACACGACTCCCTTTGCCTCACGCCAAATCCCGCTCTAGAACACTATTGAATCATCCAGAACCATCCAAAATTCACTGTGCAGACATCCAAAATCCACCTCTGCACAGTGATTTTGGATGGTTCTGGATGATTCAATAGTGTTTTGTGAGGGAGAATAAGCTGAAACAAGCTGGGACATGACCAGCCGAACGGGGTGAGCGTCCATTCGGACGAAGCTCCGCGTATGTACCCGATGCCCGCCCGCATCGCACGCCAGCATCTAGAACCATGCCTCCGCGTCCGCACGTGAACCCCGTCAGCAGCACCAGGCCTGCCCGCGTCCGCACGTGAACTACGACGGCGCTCCGACAACAGCACCACCTGCGCGAATTGCAACATGTGCAACACCCGATCTACGTTTGAAACATAAAGACGCAACATTTACAACATACAACTGAAACAGATGAAACATTTAAAATATGCGTGTATAGCCATATCAACATATGTAACATCCAGATCCACTTTTGCAATATAAGTCTAAAACATCTGAAACACATGAAAACAAACACTTGAAACATGCGTGTACAGCCATAGCAATATATGAAACATCCAGATAAAAACACTTGAAACATGCGTCTGAAACAACAAAAACACTTTGAACATAGGCTAGAAACATGCGTATATTGTCATTGCAACATATGAAACATCTCAGTTCTACTTTTGCAATATCCAGATGAAACACTTGAAACATAAGTCTGAAACGCCTTAAACCCTTAAAACACGGCATCGCCAGCAACCATGACCTACCACTAGTGGGGGACTACGGTAGCCAGCAAACTCGGGTTTAAGGGGTGAAGGGTCGAGATGGCGGACTAGAGGGGGGTGAATAGTCTTTTCTAAAATTAATCGCGTCGGCTAACCGATATAAATGCGGAATTAAAACAATCGGTCTAGCCAAGACTACACCCCTCTATATATGTTCACTAGCACCTTGCAAAGATACTAATAAAGCAACTAAGGTGTCGGGCTAGCTAGAGCTCTCCTAAACAATTCTAGGAGCAAGGTCACACAAACCTATGCCACTGGTACTTTAAGTAATAAGGGAGCTCCTACACATGCTAGTAAGCAAAAGCACAAAGCTAACTAAGCTCACTAGCAATACTCAATAACAAGGCAACCAATGCCTAATTAGAGAGCGCAAATACTTAGCTACACAAACTAAGCAATGTGACTAACAAGGTTACTAAAACTAAATTAGCCACGCAAGGGAGCTACTTCTATGCTACACAAGTAAGAAGGTAATTAGCTAGCTACACAAGCTATCTAATTACAAGAGCAACTACACAACCTTAAGATATATATAAGTAATTGCAAGCTTGTGTAATGGGGATGCAAACCAACGGGAAGAACAAGGTTGACACGATGATTTTTCTCCCGAGGTTCACGTGTTTGTCAACACGCTAGTCCCCATTGTGTCGACCGCTCACTTGGTGGTTCGGCGGCTAATTAGCATCACCCGCTAAGCCCGCACGTCGGGCACCGCAAGAACCTACCCCTTGAGTGAGGGTAGCTCAATGACACGCTTTACTAAAGTTGCTCTTCGCGACTCCCGCGGGGCGAGCACAAATACCCCTCACAAGCACTTCTCCGGAGCGCCGCACAAGCTTCTTGCGGGCTTCGACGGAGACCACCACCAAGCCGTCTAGGAGGTGGCAACCTCTAAGAGTAACAAGCACCACCGGCTTGCAACACGACCATCTAGTGCCACTCGATGCAACCTCACGATGCAATCGCACTAGAATCGCTCACTCACACAATCGAATGATCACTATCAAGTATATGTGTGATGGAGGGCTCCCAAGCACTCACAAGCATGGACACTAAGTCCCCTTAGGTGCTCAGCCCTAGCCATGGCCGAGGGCCACTTCTATTTATAGCCCCAAGGGATAAACTAGCCGTTACCCCTTCACTGGGCAAAAGTCGGGCTGACCGGACGCTCCGGTCGTGTTGACCGGACGCTGGACCTCAGCGTCCGGTCGTCCGCAGACGGCCACGCGTCCCGATCCCAACGATCCCGATCCCCACGCGGCACGGCGCAAGATTGGGGTGGGTGCGGCGGCGAGACAGGTGGGCGGACAGCGCATCACGACTGTTGCGGGCGGATGCACAGTCGACGCGGCGTTGCGTGCGGACAACACAATGAAAGTGG